CAAGACGTAATGATTTATTAAATAATTTACAAAGAAAGGGAGCAATAATGGAGGCAGTCACTTTGAGTAGTCTGGCTGGAATTTCATCTGGACCGGTTGCTTTGTTGCTATCGAGGGTTTTAAGTAAAGTTTCAATTTCCAGTTCGTTTACAATTACTTCAGATATGAATGGGTCAGTACTTAATTCTTCAGATTGATCAGATAAGTTGTCTGTTGCAAATACTGATGCAAAGTAAGTATTGAACATATTGGCTATTTCAGCTGGTCTCGTGGCGCTAGGTCTAATGTGAATTTGATCGGAGGAGTTGAGTGCCGCATGCATTGAAATGAAATCGGGGATGCTGCAAGTTTTTGATTTTTGTTTAAGGACAGACAAAAAGCGCTTGGGATTGTTAATAAAGTTGTTGTTAACCGAGGAGAAGAAATTCTCGCGGCTGTCACTGAGTAACCGTTTAACTTTAGAACGCATTCTCTTGTATTTCTCGTGAAGATGTGCAGTAGGAGTGGCTTTCAATCTTCGTCGAATAGAGTCTTTTTTCTTAATTTGATAGAGAATGTCGCCGTTGATCCATGGTAGCGGATTTCTACCTTTCAATTGCTTCTTAGGGATAAATTCTGAAACGATTGAAAGAAAAGTGTCCTTCCAACGCTTCCAATCGGTATTAATGTCATCACACGATTCTAAAATGGTTGTAGATAAGTCTATTTCACGTAACGCAGCACAAAGACCAACCATGTCACCTTTCGTATAGTCGTATACAGTTCTGACCGACTTTCTTGGTTTTTTGATAAATGCGGAGAAATCGAATGAGATAGTATGATGGTCAGTAAAAATGGATGTTTCTTCCGGAGACAATATCTGTGTCACATTGACATGGTCTGGAGCATTTGTGATAACAAAGTCTAGTATGTTATTTCCGCGTGTAGGAGTGTTGTTGAGTTGAAGTAGATGATGATCATCCAGTAACTCAAGGAAGGAAAGTTCGTTAATACCAGCGGCTTTTTCTATCGATCTCCATGGGATGTTTGGAAGATTGAAGTCTCCCGCAATTACAACGTTTTCGTAGAGGTCACAGATTGTATCCAGAAAGATCTTAAATTTATCTATCCAACCCAGGTCAGCACTAGGAGGACGATAGCAACAACAAAATAGAATTTTCTTGTCAGTAACAGTTCGCAATTCAGTTGATACGATTTCTAAATCTTCAAATTCCTCTCCATTAGGTGAGAACTCCTTCACTGCAGATTTAAAAGAATCCGTTTTTATCGCTACAAGGACTCCGCCACCGTATCGGTCTTTACGATCTTTTCTGTAAATGGTGAATCCGGAATGCAAAATTTCCTCATTAGATATAGAATTATTCAACCATGTCTCGTTCACACAAATAACATCAGAGTTTTCATTATATACAAGGTTTTGAAAGCGCTGAAGATTACAAACTGGCTGATTAGACACTTCATCTCGGTTAATACTCTTTAAACGTCTTGCATTGAGGACTAAGCTCTTCAACTGGCTGTTTTGAGAACGAATTTCAGTTGAGATGCAGGCAGGTCCAGGATTAGTTGCTATATCACCAGCGAGTAGAATACACAGGAGAAGGTGCAAATTACTATTCGCAATGTTAAATTGAAGGCCATATCTGTGATTAGACATGAGAGGGAAAGTAGACTTACGTAAAGTATTATCGCGCGTGGAAGACCAAAGACAACACAATCGATTTGATATTGACACTAGTTCTGGGGAAATGCTACAGATATTCTGGGGAAATGTTCTGTCGTTGGGTTGAATTTCTGATGGTTTTGATCCTATTGATAACCAGAAAGTTAAAATGAGAAAGAAGAGATATCCAAAAACTTTATTGAGCATTTTATTGAAGGTTATTTCACTTGATTTAAACTTCATTGCAAAAGATAGTTGTTGCCATGGAGAGCGACGCCAGACGGGATTTAAATTTCAAAAGTACCAACGGTCGAAAATAATTAATGTTGAATAATACATGACCAATACAATTAAATAACGCCAAAATTATACAAAATAACCACAAAACGATTCGTAGATCACACAGCAAGATTCAGACGAAAACGACAAACGACGACAAAGATATTGTTCATTAACCAAAATTCACAGTTGTAGCGCAATAATAATACGATAGTAATACGATCCAACAAACCAAAATAACTTTACACCACGATACAAATCCAGTTTAAAATACGATGAGAGGATGCACAAAATCCTTAGCTTTAATTAAATATAAAGCTTAATATAATAGCTGAGAAATTAACTGAAAATTTTTATATTTAAGTGGAGCTCGCTCAAGCGTAAACCTAACCTATTGACCTTTAGTAATTTACGCCCGCACCTAAAAGCGCCTGTGGAGGAGGTTGAGATTTCTGCCTCTGACTTCAAAATCCTTTCATCTGGCACTTCAGAAACTGATCTACCAACTCGCAAAAGCCTTTTCATAGCTAAATATAACCCTATCTTAAACACTAACATTAGGTCAGCTCCTTTTGACCTATTTTAACTTGTATAGATACATGTAGACCTAATTACTAATCATATATATATGACTGACTGACTGACTGACTGACTGACTGACTGACTGACTGACTGACTGACTGACTGACTGACTGACTGACTGACTGACTGACTGACTGACTGACTGATTGACTGACTGACTGACTGACTGACTGACTGACTGACTGACTGACTGACTGACTGACTGACTGACTGACTGACTGACTGACTGACTGACTGACTGACTGACTGACTGACTGACTGACTGACTGACTGACTGTTATATCGATGATCCTTTGTGTAACTTGCTGGTGCCCTTGTGTAACCAAACTTGTTACACAAAGGACCATCAGGTCCTTTTTGTAACTTAGTGTCCTTTAAGTAACTTAGCCTGTTCCTTTAGGTAACTTTGCTTGTTCCTTTTTGTAACACTGGTTCCTTTAGGTAACTTAGCCTGTTCCTTTTTGTAACATTGGTTCCTTAACGTAACTTAGCCTGTTCCTTTTTGTAACATTGGTTCCTTAACGTAACTTAGCCTGTTCCTTTTTGTAACATTGGTTCCTTAACGTAACTTAGCCTGTTACTATTTGTAACATTGGTTCCTTTAGGTAACCTATAATTTGTTTCTGATTTGTAACCTTTGTTCCTTGTATTGAGAACATATGCTGTTGTGACGGGGTTTTTATACTTCAGTGATGCAGTACAAAATAACTAAAGATGTTTCAAAGTAGAATACTATCAAACCAGATTATATATTGCATATTTAAGCGATTTTATGTATTTTTCTGAGGAGGCTATGGGTTAGTTTTTGTACATATTATAGTATAGGAGGGACAAAATATATGGAGACAGACATCAAATATGTGAAAGAGTAGAAGTATCTACTATCAAATATCAACTTTTTACACGACTAAAAATGAAATATCTCCTTTTTACATTAAACTTTAATTTAAATGTGTGCTGCCATATTTGTTGTCCCTCCAACAAGGGATTTGTGCACCTAGACCCAGGACTTTGGGAAATAGCTAATTAAGTATACAAATTATCTTCTATCATATTTATCTTTGTTAATTAATTTGTTATTTAAAGTGGAAGTCAAGTCCGTATGTAAACAAACGGTTTGTTTACATTTTGAACTGCTGTATTTTTTAAAATATGATGTACTGTCTGAATATCTAACACTATTTTGGTTCGCTATGCTTCTAAATAAATATGAAATAGAGTTTTAATATGTTCAGAAAAATTCGAAACATTCGAAATTTGGGCAATGTCTACATCAGAGGTCCTCACATTGTTATGAGCAGAACCGATGTGCAGAACGGATTTGACTTCCACTTTAAGTAAATTTGGGACAAAAATATTGTGTTTTATTTATACCAAAATGCTACATTTGCCCCCTTTAGGAAAGGAGACCTTGCCCCACCCCCTTTCCATCATCCCTGATACCATATAACTACATTCTAATTTAATTTCTAAAGTTGAGTTCTTTCCATGTTTTATTGAATCATTGTAGAGAATTTTCATTTTCCAAGAATTTATTATAAATAAATTAATTACCAGTCAGTAATTGATAGAAAACATTTGCAAATATTCCTTATATTCGTAGAGAAAGTACTGAAGCAATAGTTCGCGCATTGCCTGGAGGCCTGGTGCCTAGTTTAAGTTGCGGAGCGCAAGGTGTCATGGGATAGCGTCGTTTCAAATTTTTTTGCTAAAAATTTGAAAGCACATTTACATGTCTTACATGGTGAAGAAATTTATCGAAATCAGACCTGCCAACCTCCAATCGCAATGAATCTGGAGATCTGATAGAAAATTTCTTGAGATTGATCTCTTATTTCTGGAGATAAAATACTGAAAATCTGGGGTATTTCTGGATAAGACAATTACTATAATAATTGCTTGTAGATGACTGATCCATGTTCCACATAGCAATTTTTAATTACTGTCCTCCAAAATAAAACTTTAGCTCAACAGTTCACTTACAAATTCAACCTGGTCTTAGTCTATACAATTGTATCTTACTAATTTGGGATACTATTCCAATTTTTATCCATGGCCACACACCCCTGTTGAGGAACCTTGGTATTCCAGAGGAAGGCGATGTTTTTCAACCACTGACCCGCATTTTCAACCTTGCAAATTGCTAGGGGAATCAAGTTCCTCAATGGAATTTGAACCTACGACCTTTGGAATACTAGCCCAATTCTCTGCCAACTGAGCTACGCGGTCAGGTCGGTTCGAGTATGCGATATTTTGGAACTGAGTCTAGTTCCTTCGATATCAGTGTAATCTGATAATCATGATATTTGCTGTGTTGGTGTAATGTACTCATGACAGGTGAATAAGATGCTTGTGTGACAAGCGTACAGACCTGAGTACATTACACCGACACAGCAAATATCATAATTTAGTCTGTCTTGTTAATTTACTCTGTCTGATACCAAACAATTTTACCTACCTTTCCATGCTTCATACTAAGTCCAAAAAAAGAAATGCCCGGGTTTCTATTTCTCATGTGCAAAAATTTAGGCAGGGTATGTAGGGTTTTCTTTTTTTTCTTGTAAATATTTAATTTTTTTTATAAATGTACATGCATGAGAATGATATTCTACATCAATTACGGCAGCACAGATGACACAAACATTTGTTAAATATTAAATCAACTTTGAAACAAACAAGTTATACTTTTAAAGTTAGTTCGTTCACTGCAACCAGGTATATCAATCATGTTTCGCTCGCTACTCTGGTTTAAATAAAGCCCAGTCGAATTGTAACCAAGACCCAACGTTTCGACACTCCAGTCGAGTGTCTTCATCAGGGGTGATCTAAAACTGCAATCGTGGCTTCCTAAATACCCAAGGGATGACGTCACCTGCTCATATAATAATTTTGTTTGTGGAAACACCATATGTAGTTACATGCTGTTTCCTCAAACAAAAGTATTATATAGCTAGTACTGTACAAAACTAATGCCACGAACTGGGTATGAAAAATTGTTCCAAACTCTTTGCAAACTACAGATAAAAATATTAGTGTCCGGTGATTTCTTTGTCCTAATTAGTAAGCCCCGATGTCTCCTGTAACATACTTTACAAAAATAGTATTAATTAAATCGAATGTAATCTAGTAGATGGTTAATTAAGCCAATATATACCTGGTAACCAATTAGACATGGCCACCTAGCCTGCGAACAGACTCTCAAGCTGAATTGAGAGCCTGCATCGATGATTAATGAATTTGAATATCTGCCCCGTAACGTTCGTTTTTCCAAATATGGAATGTCTATCCTTATATGGTGTTGTTTACAACTTTCGTGCAAACTAAATTTAGACCGTGCAAACTAAATTTAGACCGTACAGTTTATACTATTTTTCGAAATATAAGATATTCAAGCAAAAGTTCAAATGTTTTAAATACTGTTTTCTCAAAACAGAACATTTCGTGCTTTGAGATAAGACGGCCAAGACCAATACGAACAGTTAATGTGTTTTTTTATTCAGCAGTTGACATATATAGAGCTCAGCGGAAACATATAAATTATAGCATCTGACCAATGAGAATTTCGCGTCACAATTTGAGACGCAGATATTCAAATTCATTAGTCATCGATGCAGGCTCTCAATTCAGCTTGAGAGCCTGTTCGCAGGCTAATGGCCACCCTAAGAGCATCCCCTGTTTGGCCTAAAACTATTTAGTAGATTATTTGTGCTGTCTCAATGCCAATAAATCTAAATTAAATAAATCTGATTTTATCAATTCCTATATTTTCAGCTTTTGTTCTGGATGATACAGTCTATGGAAAGACAACTGCTATGCAGTACACGATACAGGACAAATGCTGTGGGGCTTGAACTAAAAGCAAACCAGCTGATTGAGACTTGACATTAACAATTAATGACTTTTAGGTACTCCTTATTTATTTCTGGCCATGTATATAAACATAATATAATAGTAGGAAATTTTAAATAAGCGTAGGTTATAGTAAATGTAATTACTCTGCTCCAGGGGTCGGTTGTTCAATGCTGGACTAACGCTAACCCTGGGTTAAAATTTAGCCTGCTGTTTTAGTAGGTGTATTTCTACGCGTCTGTTTATTTCAAAACTTCAGAGAAGAAAACTCCAGTCCTATCGATCCAGACAAGATCTCTGAAGAAATATTTCCAAATTTATATAGACAAGCTGTCAGGAAGTGTGCTTTGAATTTTAGGTTAACCTAGGGTTAAGCTAATCCAGCTTTGAACAACTGGCCCCTAGAGAAAAATTGATTGTACAGTCTTAAATTTATCTATATGTGTAAAGCTTATTGATCTGATAATTCTTCTTTATACTACCCGATTATAAAAGATGCATGATGGCTCCAGACGCAATCAGAGGTCACTGTTTTTTTCAACTATAATAACACAACCATGTTTTAAATATAACAAAATAACTTTTTAATTGTCGCCACTTGATTTTGATTATTGTAGTTCCTCGACTATTTATAGAAAGGTTCATATTCGACTTTCACTACCATTACCACTACCGTTAATGACTGCTAACCAATCAGATGTGTATTAAGTCTAAGCCAGTGAAGGTAGTGGTATTGGAAGTCAAATGTGAACCTCCCTAAGAATATAATACCTATAGGTACTGTTACTACTGTACAACAATGCAATAAATGTCACTGCTTTGTCAACTATATAACAAAACGATATTTTATACTATAGCGAAATAACTTTTAAATGTCACCACATTTTTAGGAAAATTTTGAAAGAGTTTCAGATATGACTTGCACTGCCACTACCTTTATAAGGAGCCATAAACCAATCAAATTTGTACTACGCCAGTGAAGAGGTAGTACAGTAGTAAGTCGGGTATTGGAAGTCAAATCTGAACCTCTCTAATTATATAACAAGTACTGACACTATTACTGCTGAAGGACAGTGCGATAAAATGTCATTGTTTTGTTAACTATAACAGAACGATAAGGACGGGTTTTACACTATCAAAGTTTCCGTGATCACAGTAGGAATTTTGCATAGCTGAATTCTAAGTTTTTGAAGCATTTGTAAGAAATGTTTGACGAAACTGGGTCAGTGATAAACACTAACGCCCGTATTCTAAAAGCTCACTCACACACAATGAGCGGAGGTTGAATCCGGAATAGCTGGATGGTTAGTAGTCACGTAGTAAGGTACGACACTAACCCTCCAGCGATTCAAAAACAGCATTGACACTCGAGAGAAGCTCAGATTGAATGTCCACTCTGAGTGTGAGTGAGCTTTTAGAATACGGGCGTTAGTCCGTAACGTTTCTAAAATTCCCTGAAACATTTCTAACAAATCCTTCTAATTCAAAATCAAATCTCAGAAACCTTGATAGTGTAAATCAGCCTATATTCCAACAATAACAAAATAACTTTTAATTGCGAACACATTTTAGTATAGTTTCTTTGTGAATAACAAAGTTCGGTTCCCATTTGTGCTGGTATGTAGTTCCTCGACTATTAATTAAGAAGTAGTCAGACTTATGTATCACTTATATTTCATATCAATTTACAACTCATATATCACCAGTATCATCACTTTATATCTATGTTATAAATCAAGCTTCACCAACATCATCACAGTCCATGCATCATCATATAACATAATTCACTAAAATCATCATTATCTATACCATTCCAATTCTATCAGTCACACTGAATCGAAATTTCATTTCATTTCACTCCACACATCATTTGATGTTCACCCAATAGAATGTTCCAACAGGTCCAGCAGGGCCATTTCACAGCATTCCAGGATCTGAATACCTGCAACCACCTTTTTGATCCAATTCTAAAAAACAAACAACAGATGACTGATTTGCATCAACAGAAACTGCAGGACGAAGCAAGTGCAGTATGTTTCAATAAAGAACACTTATATATGTGCAATAAAAAATAAGTTACTTTGAGAAAACATGATGAAAACAGTTTAAAAGCTAAAATTTAAAAATAAACCTTTTATCGGCTAATAAAACACAATGTAACTAATTATTGGCTTAACCAGTATACACCAAACTTTGCGAATACAAGTCTCCAATATGTAGAAACATTATTTCAGCAAAACTGACTGATTTGATATGGTATTAGAGCATTGAAATAAGTTTTCATTCAGTTTTATCATGGAAATATTAAGTAATTTGCTCAGGTAAACACATATTTGAACCATCTTAACTGAAAAGATCCTTGTCACAGATGACTGACTTTGCATCAACAGAAACTGCAGGACGAAGCAACTGTATTTCAATAAAGAACACTTATATACGTGCAGTAAAAAATAAGTTACTTTGAGAAAACATGATGAAAACAGTTTAAAAGCTAAAATTTAAAAATAATCCTTTTATCGGCTAATAAAACACAATATAACTAATTATTGGCTTAACCAGTATACCGCAAACTTTGCCAATACAAGTCTCCAATATGTAGAAACATGTTTTCAACAAAACTGACTGATTTGATATGGTATTAGAGCATTGAAATAAGTTTTCATTCAGTTTTATCATGGAAATATTAAGTAATTTGCTCAGGTAAACACATATTTGAGCCATCTTAAATTAACTGAAAAGATCCTTTTCACAGATGACTGATTTGCATCAACAGAAACTGCAGGACGAAGCAAGTACAGTATATTTCAATAAAGAACACTTATATATGTGCAGTAAAAAATAAGTTACTTTGAGAAAACATGATGAAAACAGTTTAAAAGCTAAAATTTAAAAATAATCCTTTTATCGGCCAATAAAACACAATGTAACTAATTATTGGCTTAACCAGTATACACCAAACTTTGCCAATGTAAGTCTCCAATGTGTAGAAACATGTTTTCAGCAAAACTGACTGATTTGATATGGTATTAGAGCATTGAAATAAGTTTTCATTCAGTTTTATCATGGAAATATTAAGTAATTTGCTCAGGTAAACACATATTTGAACCATCTTAACAGAAAAGATCCTTGTCACAGATGACTGACTTTGCATCAACAGGAACTGCAGGACGAAGCAACTGTATTTCAATAAAGAACACTTATATACGTGCAGTAAAAAATAAGTTACTTTGAGAAAACATGATGAAAACAGTTTAAAAGCTAAAATTTAAAAATAAACCTTTTATCGGCTAATAAAACACAATGTAACTAATTATTGGCTTAACCAGTATACACCAAACTTTGCCAATATAAGTCTCCAATATGTAGAAACATGTTTTCAGCAAAACTGACTGATTTGATATGGTATTAGAGCATTGAAATAAGTTTTCATTCAGTTTTATCATGGAAATATTAAGTAATTTGCTCAGGTAAACACATATTTGAGCCACCTTAACTGAAAAGATCATTGTCACAGATGACTGACTTTGCATCAACAGAAACTGCAGGACGAAGCAACTGTATTTCAATAAAGAACACTTATATACGTGCAGTAAAAAATAAGTTACTTTGAGAAAACATGATGAAAACAGTTTAAAAGCTAAAATTTAAAAATAAACCTTTTATCGGCTAATAAAACGCAATGTAACTAATTATTGGCTTAACCAGTATACACCAAACTTTGCCAATACAAGTCTCCAATATGTAGAAACATGTTTTCAGCAAAACTGACTGATTTGATATGGTATTAGAGCATTGAAATAAGTTTTCATTCAGTTTCATCATGGAAATATTAAGTAATTTGCTCAGGTAAACACATACAGTATTTGAGCCACCTTAACTGGAAAGATCATTGTCACAGATGACTGATTTGCATCAACAGAAACTGCAGGACGAAGCAAGTGCAGTATGTTTCAATAAAGAACACTTATATATGTGCAATAAAAAATAAGTTACTTTGAGAAAACATGATGAAAACAGTTTAAAAGCTAAAATTTAAAAATAATCCTTTTATCGGCTAATAAAACACAATATAACTAATTATTGGCTTAACCAGTATACCGCAAACTTTGCCAATACAAGTCTCCAATATGTAGAAACATGTTTTCAACAAAACTGACTGATTTGATATGGTATTAGAGCATTGAAATAAGTTTTCATTCAGTTTTATCATGGAAATATTAAGTAATTTGCTCAGGTAAACACATATTTGAGCCATCTTAAATTAACTGAAAAGATCCTTTTCACAGATGACTGATTTGCATCAACAGAAACTGCAGGACGAAGCAAGTACAGTATATTTCAATAAAGAACACTTATATATGTGCAGTAAAAAATAAGTTACTTTGAGAAAACATGATGAAAACAGTTTAAAAGCTAAAATTTAAAAATAAACCTTTTATCGGCTAATAAAACGCAATGTAACTAATTATTGGCTTAACCAGTGTACACCAAACTTTGCCAATATAAGTCTCCAATATGTAGAAACATGTTTTCAGCAAAACTGACTGATTTGATATGGTATTAGAGCATTGAAATAAGTTTCCATTCAGTTTCATCATGGAAATATTAAGTAATTTGCTCAGGTAAACACACAGTATTTGAGCCACCCTAACTGGAAAGATCATTGTCACAGATGACTGATTTGCATCAACAGAAACTGCAGGACGAAGCAAGTGCAGTATGTTTCAATAAAGAACACTTATATATGTGCAATAAAAAATAAGTTACTTTGAGAAAACATGATGAAAACAGTTTAAAAGCTAAAATTTAAAAATAAACCTTTTATCGGCTAATAAAACACAATGTAACTAATTATTGGCTTAACCAGTATACACCAAACTTTGCCAATATAAGTCTCCAATATGTAGAAACATTATTTCAGCAAAACTGACTGATTTGATATGGTATTAGAGCAATGAAATAAGTTTTCATTCAGTTTTATCATGGAAATATTAAGTAATTTGTTCAGGTAAACACATATTTGAACCATCTTAACTGAAAAGATCCTTGTCACAGATGACTGACTTTGCATCAACAGAAACTGCAGGACGAAGCAACTGTATTTGAATAAAGAACACTTATATACGTGCAGTACAAAATAAGTTACTTTGAGAAAACATGATGAAAACAGTTTAAAAGCTAAAATTTAAAAATAAACCTTTTATCGGCTAATAAAACGCAATGTAACTAATTATTGGCTTAACCAGTATACCGCAAACTTTGCCAATACAAGTCTCCAATATGTAGAAACATTATTTCAGCAAAACTGACTGATTTGATATGGTATTAGAGCAATGAAATAAGTTTTCATTCAGTTTTATCATGGAAATATTAAGTAATTTGCTCAGGTAAACACATATTTGAACCATCTTAACTGAAAAGATCCTTGTCACAGATGACTGACTTTGCATCAACAGAAACTGCAGGACGAAGCAACTGTATTTCAATAAAGAACACTTATATACGTGCAGTAAAAAATAAGTTACTTTGAGAAAACATGATGAAAACAGTTTAAAAGCTAAAATTTAAAAATAAACCTTTTATCGGCTAATAAAACACAATGTAACTAATTATTGGCTTAACCAGTATACACCAAACATTGCCAATATAAGTCTCCAATATGTAGAAACATTATTTCAGCAAAACTGACTGATTTGATATGGTATTAGAGCAATGAAATAAGTTTTCATTCAGTTTTATCATGGAAATATTAAGTAATTTGCTCAGGTAAACACATATTTGAGCCATCTTAACTGAAAAGATCCTTGTCACAGATGACTGATTTGCATCAACAGAAACTGCAGGACGAAGCAAGTACAGTATTTCAATAAAGAACACTTATATATGTGCAGTAAAAAATAAGTTACTTTGAGAAAACATGATGAAAACAGTTTAAAAGCTAAAATTTAAAAATAATCCTTTTATCGGCCAATAAAACACAATGTAACTAATTATTGGCTTAACCAGTATACACCAAACTTTGCCAATGTAAGTCTCCAATGTGTAGAAACATGTTTTCAGCAAAACTGACTGATTTGATATGGTATTAGAGCATTGAAATAAGTTTTCATTCAGTTTCATCATGGAAATATTAAGTAATTTGCTCAGGTAAACACATATTTGAGCCATCTTAACTGAAAAGATCCTTGTCACAGATGACTGATTTGCATCAACAGAAACTGCAGGACGAAGCAAGTACAGTATATTTCAATAAAGAACACTTATATATGTGCAGTAAAAAATAAGTTACTTTGAGAAAACATGATGAAAACAGTTTAAAAGCTAAAATTTAAAAATAAACCTTTTATCGGCTAATAAAACACAATGTAACTAATTATTGGCTTAACCAGTATACACCAAACTTTGCCAATATAAGTCTCCAATGTGTAGAAACATGTTTTCAGCAAAACTGACTGATTTGATATGGTATTAGAGCATTGAAATAAGTTTTCATTCAGTTTTATCATGGAAATATTAAGTAATTTGCTCAGGTAAACACATATTTGAGCCATCTTAACTGAAAAGATCCTTGTCACAGATGACTGATTTGCATCAACAGAAACTGCAGGACGAAGCAACTGTATTTCAATAAAGAACACTTATATACGTGCAGTAAAAAATAAGTTACTTTGAGAAAACATGATGAAAACAGTTTAAAAGCTAAAATTTAAAAATAAACTTTTATCGGCTAATAAAACATAATATAACTAATTATTGGCTTAACCAGTATACCGCAAACTTTGCCAATATAAGTCTCCAATATGTAGAAACATGTCTTCAGCAAAACTGACTGATTTGATATGGTATTAGAGCATTGAAATAAGTTTTCATTCAGTTTTATCATGGAAATATTAAGTAATTTGCTCAGGTAAACACATATTTGAACCATCTTAACTGAAAAGATCCTTGTCACAGATGACTGACTTTGCATCAACAGAAACTGCAGGACGAAGCAACTGTAGTTCAATAAAGAACACTTATATACGTGCAGTAAAAAATAAGTTACTTTGAGAAAACATGATGAAAACAGTTTAAAAGCTAAAATTTAAAAATAATCCTTTTATCGGCTAATAAAACGCAATGTAACTAATTATTGGCTTAACCAGTATACCGCAAACTTTGCCAATACAAGTCTCCAATATGTAGAAACATGTTTTCAACAAAACTGACTGATTTGATATGGTATTAGAGCAATGAAATAAGTTTTCATTCAGTTTTATCATGGAAATATTAAGTAATTTGCTCAGGTAAACACATATTTGAGCCATCTTAACTGAAAAGATCCTTGTCACAGATGACTGACTTTGCATCAACAGAAACTGCAGGACGAAGCAACTGTATTTCAATAAAGAACACTTATATACGTGCAGTAAAAAATAAGTTACTTTGAGAAAACATGATGAAAACAGTTTAAAAGCTAAAATTTAAAAATAAACTTTTATCGGCTAATAAAACACAATGTAACTAATTATTGGCTTAACCAGTATACACCAAACTTTGCCAATATTAAGTCTCCAATATGTAGAAACATGTTTTCAGCAAAACTGACTGATTTGATATGGTATTAGAGCAATGAAATAAGTTTTCATTCAGTTTTATCATGGAAATATTAAGTAATTTGCTCAGGTAAACACATATTTGAGCCACCTTAACTGGAAAGATCATTGTCACAGATGACTGAATTTGCATCAACAGAAACTGCAGGACGAAGCAAGTACAGCATATTTCAATAAAGAACACTTATATATGTGCAGTAAAAAATAGTTACATTGAGAAAATATGATGAAATCGGTTTAAAGCTAAAATTTAAGAATAAACCTTTTATCGGCTGTATATATGTGCAGTAAGTTAGATTGAACACACCAGATTTTGCCAACATACAGTACTATTGGTAACAAATATCCCGAAATACTGTATGTTTCAAATCAAATCAAATCAAGTGACTTGATATACTAGTGGGGGCTGTTCACAAGCAGTGACATAAATTTTCATTGAGTTTTGTACTAAAAATATTGAGTGAATTGGTTGGGTAAATACTAACAACAAATACATGTAAAGCCAAAAAGTACTGCATTATATTGCAAGCATGCTGTGTTGGTATGAAGAAAACTTATTTAATTTTAAGGTATGTTTACACACAGCCATTTGTCAGGCCAATTTCACGTTTAGAGAAATGTTAATGATGAATAGCTGGCAGCCGATGTCGATAAGTAGATGACACTTAGTATTTTTCAAATTTCATTGAAGTGGATCTGAAATTGGCCCAAGAAAATGCTGTATTTAAATATACATTTACTGTTTAGATATACATGTATGCAATAAAAACTAAATTACAATGATAGTACATGATAAAAACAGTAAATCAAAGCTAAAACTTAACAAGAAACCATTAACCGGCTAACACAAATGGCATGTATTGTAATCCAAGTGAGTATATATACCTTATATGCACTATTTTCCAGGCCTAACCAGGAACGATTGCAGGAATCGAACCGACAACCCTGCGATTCCAGTGCAGCAATCTAACTCGCCGAGTTACAGAAGCCAATTGCTGAGCTGTAACCGCAAGTTCATATATACAGTTACTGTATTTCAATTAAGGTTGTCTACCGGTACGAGCAAAGCGCAAAAGTCGAATGCTTGTACTGTATTCGACTTTTCTACTTTGCTCGTGGACAACCTTAATTGAAATAGCTGTATATTAGGTAATCGAGTACATGGGTCCTGATAACTAAGGTAACTTGAAAGATGTTATTGACACTAATTCACTTGGTTCAACCAAGTGAAGTGCAAATAACATCTTTCAAGTAACTAATAATTCCAATGCTCAACTAAAACTCACAAATATTAATAACATAAGGAACAAACATGTTACTACATGTTTCAGTCAAATAGTGTGGGTTTTCATTTAGTTTTAGACTTAAAATATTGAGTAGTTTGTTTGGGTAAATACTATTAGTATTTACCCAAACAAACTACTCAATTATAATTTTAAGGATAAAACTAAATTAAAACCCACATTATTTGACTGAAACATGTAGTAACATACACAAATACTTTAAAAGCAAGATTTGAAGATTACTGTATTAATTTAAACAATATTGACTTAAAACACTTATATATAAATGACTGAGCAGTAAAGTCTAAAGACTATACATAAATAGAAATGTATAAATCTAATAATATAAAATAAGAAAAATGAGCACACGGAAACTTTTGTCAACCTAAGTCTAAACCACAAATCTCATTTATAGCTTTAAAAGTGCATGTGCAAATGAAGTGAGAAAATATAATCATTGTTTCACAGACAGTAATAATATGCAAATACAGAGCATGGTATAAATTGGTCTTCATTTCTGTCATGAATATTAATAATTAGGCAAAAATATTTACCTTACCTCAAACAAAAACACACCAACAGCGGTGTGTGATAATCCTCAACCAGATGTCCTCAATTATAAACGGTGATTTCTTTGGATGGTAAAAGCGTAAAAGACTAGACGTTCAGAACGTTCTTAGACGCAAGATTGCCAAGAAAGCCTATGGCCAAAAGGCCCAAAACAACAAGCAACCGAGTAAAATGGCCCTGGGTACGAATTTCCAATAAACTCGCACCAGGCCTTTCTTTGAAATCTTGCTCTTTGCTCCATATTTCATTCCATTCTTTTGGAAAGGGGTGTATTAAAGAAAATGAAAAAAAATGTTCGTTCTCTTTAAACAAAATGCGAGTTGAATGGGGTACAAATATTATAACAATGATTTCAAAAACGGTGACAGGAAATTATTTGAAATCACCTATATTGATAAAAAGGTCTTAATCTAAAACGTTCTTTTTCTTTCAAATTTGGAGGGTTGAGAGTGCAATTTTAATATTAGTCAATTTCTAGAAGTATCCAAAAACTGATCATACCAGAATAACGGCTTCACGCCTCATCATGGAGGAGTAAATTTTTTTTCGAGTTACAAAAAGGACTTTTTTGGTTACATTAAGGAACAGTTCCTTTTTGTAACATGAATTTTTACGTAAAAAACGTAAATAAAATAAGATCTATTAATGACAGCGCCTCGAAACTTTGGGACTATGTTTTCTGACATTTCAGAAAACAACATGCAAAAAATCAAAGCGTTTGAGTAAAAGCTGGTCGTTTTATTAACAAAATATTGTGCTATTTCATGAACAAAAAATTTTAATAGTCGATTTTGACCAGAGATCAAAGCTAACCTAATGCAGATCTTACAAAGTTTTATTTCACCTCGTAACTTTTTAACCAAATGCGTGGGATAATAACGGGTATTAAAAGCTTGTTAAGGTTACTTACACGCTCTCAACCTGGCATAGTTTGGTGAAAAAAGATGAAAAATTGAGCGTTTACACAACAGTTTTCCTTTGTGTAACATACAAGACCTATTGCTGGGAATAATTGTAAAAAACAGGACCACAACTCATATCTGAAGTAATTATGTTAAACAGCACTATTTTATCACCCTAAGAAATAGATTTTCTGTTAAACTTATTAGTTTTTCTTAAAACGGTAAACATAAATAAAAAAGGTTACAAGAAGTAACCAACATCTATCTAATGACTGACTGACTGACTGACTGACTGACTGACTGACTGACTGACTGACTGACTGACTGACTGACTGACTGACTGATAAGTTTGAATTTCCCCCCAGTCATCACAATACTGTGAAGTTTCGAAGAAACTTCACACTAAAAAGGAAAGTTTTGGGGAGGTGATCGCGGAAAGATTGAAATCTGTTGGAATAAACATAGAATAGTCTCCATCAGCGTCGCAAGTAGCTTGCAGCCCGTGTGCAAGAAAACTACGAAACCTGGTTAGTACGTTTCGACAGCGGTCAACCATGATGTGCAGGCTACATTTTCGAGAGATTCAGGAAAGAGAAAGGTGTCCGAAGCCGTAACACCAAATTGAGCAAGTCCTGTTCGCAAACATCCGCGGCAATTCTCTCCAAATACAAAATCATCAAGAAGAAAAAGTCTATTTGTTGTCGGTGCAAACGAACACGATCGTAAAAGAGACGCGGATAAGCAATCCAATGAAGACACACTTTTATCGAAACTGAATATCGACGATTTGGACACAAGTAAGAATTCTCAATTAAAAGCAGTTATCGCCTATCCTTCAGGACATGTAGTTGTAAAGAGTAACTTTGACCCAGAAGTGAAATTGCTACTCATTAATATTTGTCTTTCCCGTTGGAGTGCAGCTGTAAATAAGCTGTTTTGTCACGATGAATTGTTACGAGAACTTCTATCTCAACTAAGTGTTCGAACAAAACGTGAATTTATGTGTTACAGTAATTTTGATAGTTGTCTAAAATTTACAACACCAGACCAGCTCGCGGCCTACTCGAACAAGGTCCTCTGCAAGGAAGTGTCAATGGAATTTCCCATATATAATGCTGTAGTCACAGGCGCTTGCAAAGCATCTTCGAGTTGCAATGAAATTGCGACAACTAATGCAATTGCTCTGGCTACATCAGCTATTGCAAAGGTTGTTAACCCGACGATGTCAGCAGTTGCCTATAGAATTTCCACAGTGTTATTTCACAGTGGAATTAGTCATGTGGATGTACAACGTTTGAATCGGTTGGGAATTTGCATGTCTTCCGATAGCGTCATAAATCTGCACGAGAAAATGGGTGAAAACTTTGATTATGCAGCCAAAAAATGGAAAAAGGAGATAGAAGAGAACAATTCTACGTTGCTTTTTGTAAGGGAAATAGAGGGAAAGATGTTAAACCGTAGTAATGATGATATGCATCTGGACACGACTCTAAACCTGGATGAGGATTCTTTAAAAGCGTAAAGTACTGTACTCCAGAAGTGTATGACAGGACATTACAATTGCTGGAATCTGAAAGACAACGCATGGGTGAAGACACATTGAATGATGATGTTTTAATGGCAGTGAAAGCAAAATTGCAAAATGCAAAACTTCCAATATACAAGTAAGTTTATATCCTAATGTAAATCACAGTCACCATTAGGCAGGGTCTGAAATTTTATTTTTTTTTAAGTATCCACATGGATACCAAGGTTTTAAAATTTGGTATCCCTCCCGATAATCCAGTATCCTAAATCTGGATACTTAACTAGTTGGCTTTTCGTATGCCACAGGGCCAGACCCAACATCACTCTAAGGCTTACTCTTAGTCAACTACGTCAAGCATTTTCGTCCATCGCATTTTATGTTTAATATACTAGAATCCTAAAAGGAACTTATACAGTTCAAATATTCAATTTCTTAACAGTTAACAGGGTTATTTAATTATAAATTAAAGTCTAAGTGTCAACTTCTCTGATTTTTAATGCTATCAGTATGCACTCAAATGGGAACTACAGCGTCATTATCATCATCATTGGCTGTATTATCATGAAGACCATTGCCTGCATCAGGAGTTTTGGTAGTTTTAATTAAATATTTTTTACATAATATCACAAGAAAGCATGGATTATTTACGAGTATTTTAGTTCATGACGGCAGCAAAAAAAATGTATTTCTTTTTTGCTAACTATCGACCTTCAAATTTCCTTACAATCTTCTTGACTTTTCTTCACGTGCCCGCGAATACCGCCTGCTACGCAGGCTAGACTTTTCTTGATTTCAAAAAGATTCTTTTCAATGAAGTCTGGACCATTGAACTATAAATAAACTGGAAGGCTAACTGCTATGATGAAGGCCTATGATTTGATGAAGCCAAAATAGTTTTTCTGAGTTATGAGCAGAAATACTTGACCCCAAACGTCGGGCTATATATCAAATTGAAGCTATTGAAAATTGCTATTCGGTGTGGAAATTTCAAGACTTCGGCGAAAAGAAAAATATTTAAAAAATACGAAAACAACTGCAAAACGGCAAATTATCGGTAATTATGTTTGTAGTTTTTCAATATTTCCCTTTTAGCTAAAGTCTTAAAATTTCTACACCAAATAGAGTTTTTCAATAGCTTCAATTTGATATATAGCCCAACGTTCAGTGTTGAGTATTTCTGCTCATAACTCAGAAAAACTAAAATGCACTGGCTTCAATTTCCCCCCCTGAGTTAGCCTTCCAGTTTATTTATAGTTCAATGGTCTGGACAGTTGTTTCAATGTGGAAACACTATTCAAAATGGCGACTCGCGAATTGAACCATGAGTGGACTACATGCATAAATACAACGTTAAGACGAATGCTAGACTTGTGTTACAGCACTATTTAATGAACAAAAATGTGGGGAGACTACTAAAACATTAACTGCTATCCCGTTTTTTAAAAAAATGTGGTATCCCATCGGGATACAAGTAAAATAAACTTAGTATCCAAACCAAATTTCAGTATCCCGTGGATATCGGGATACCGCAAATTTCAGACCCTGCATTAGGTAACAGGGAGTTTTAAAAAATGACGAAGGAAAGTCCTACACCCCTAATTTTTGCCCGAGTCCTCAAACATTGCAAAGTCACTAATTGACACAAAATTATTTTATAGTATTTACCCTTTAAGTGCTATGTGCCTGACACGCCCTAATTTACTTTTTTACTCTGTCTAATTCCATACGATTTTACTTGTCAGCCTGTCAGGGAGAGAGTGCCACTCAATTGGCTGAAACTCCAGTTTGATTTCTCCTTTTCTAGATGCCCTGTATCCGAGTGTGGGAATACATAAACAGGTTTAAAGGTTTTGCATATCATTAATAATATGCTCCTTATCTGCACCCTAATTGGGCATACACAATTTGTAATGTTGAACTGAATTATTTATTTTGTTAAGAATTGTATCAGACAACATCGATCATGAAGTTTATGCACGAATTCAGACTAAAGATCATAATAACCTGTCAATTCATTGGACACATCAGTATGCTGTACGAGATAAAGTTGTTAATCCTACCCTGGAAACTTCATCACCACAAGTAGACCCTGATGATCTTCAACTGTCAGCTCTTTTGCCTGATAGAGGTGTCCAGCAGAATATGGTTCACCAATGGGCAGTTTTTGTTAGTAGAATAGTGACAAAGTATATCCCGGCTTTCCAGAACTTTCAAAAGGATGTCATCTGGCACATTCCACATGAATTCTCAAATGAAATGTCTGTAAAATCTGACATGGTAAGAGGTCTTAAGGAATCAATGTGAAAATCAATGAGAATAATGCACAGTTGAATATGTATAGGTTATTTTGAGGCAACGAGGGGATATGTGATTTATTCACCGAGGCGCGCAGCGCCGAGGTGAATAAACACATATCCCCGAGGTGCCTCAAAATAACGTACTTATTTTTCACACTGCGAGGTCGCGTTAATGAGTCAGAAAAGAAATAATTCTCAATGCCATATTGCTTTTGCGATGTTGTTTTTTCTCGTTTTTTGTGCTGCAAAGACATTGCAGGTGAATATTAGAGGGGATTATCAATTGCAGGTGAATATTAGAGGGGATTATTAAACGGAAATTGATTAGAGGGGAATATTGAATATATTCCCCGACAAGAACAAAGGAAACCGAGCAGGGTGAAAAATAAATCCTAACATTCTAACTCTCCCGGGAATCTACTAAAAATTCATGAAAACTTCTGCTCTCCTAATTTTTATTAAATTCTCCCAATTTTTTTTAGAATATTCAGGAAATATCGCAAAAAATCATTGACATTGTCTTTACCTTTTTTATGAAGTTACTTTATAAATGACAACTTATAGGATCATATATACAACAACTTATACCCAAAATGCAGGAAAATTGCCATTTCAGATACTCAATTTATATTATTTTTTCCTATAAGAATATATTTCAACTCACTTAACAGTCTCCCTAAACTTTTACCTCAAGTGGTTGGAATAATGACTGTATATGTCTTACACGATACATTATGTGACACAAAGCTAAGATATTAGGCATTAATTTGGAATCAGCAACCCATACATAATCTTATCACCAATCATATTTATTAATATGATGTATCTTACTTGAACATTTATAACCCGGCCACTGTCTGGTATACATGTATCAACCCAGCCATTAACCCATTTAGCCGCAATGCGCCCCATTGTGCGCCCTACTCATATTTTTTTTTATTTGTCTAACACCAGACAATTTAATTTACTTATCAATGGGGAAGCTCTGTAGCTTAATGGGTTAACTAACAAAATAATCGGACAATGTCTCTAGTTAACCTATTGATGCATAATTCACCCCACTTATATTTTTTTTCTTGTCTAACGCCAGACGATTTTACTCGTCAATGGGGATGCTCTGCAACTTAATGGATCAAACTGCAGTGTGCCATAATGCAGTCTACCTTCTTATTTCACTCTATCTAACACTGCACAATTTTAATCCTCAAGGGCCCAAGAACTAAATGGGTTAATGAATATATGCTTTGTTTTATATCCTATAGTGTTCCCTTGGTATGGAATTTCATAACCCTAATGTGGCAGCAGAAATGGCCCAGATCTTAAAAAGTTACCAGGCAATTAATTATGTTCCATGCCTTAATTGGGATGACGAACAAATATTCCTTTCCACAGTACCAGTACATGGTGACCAATTGTTTGAGGAATGTGGACGCAATGTTAAGTGGACATTCAGAGATGGGGAGAGTGAATATGTATAGGTTATTTTGAGGCAACGAGGGGATATGTGATTTATTCACCGAGGCGCGTAGCGCCGAGGTGAATAAACACATATCCCCGAGGTGCCTCAAAATAACGTACTTATTTTTCACAATGCGAGGTCGAAATAATGAGTCAGAAAAGAAATAATTCTCAATGCCATATTGCCTTCGTTATGTTGTTTTTTTCTCACTTTTTGTGCTGCAAAGACATTGCAGGTGAATATTAGAGGGGATTATTAATTACAGGTGAATATTAGAGGGGATTATTCAACGGAAATTGATTAGAGGGGAATATTGAATATATTCCCCGACAGAAACAAAGGAAACCGAGCAGGGTGAAAAATAAGATAGAGTAGAAGGACTCCTTTCAGAGCAATGCCGATTGGCATGCAAAAGTAACGCTGTACAAGGTTGGTGATGTTGAAGTTTTTGTGGCTTATTAGAATGTTCCACTGATTCAAGAATGCATGCAGGACGGGGGCATAGGAAGCTTGTAAAAGTTGGGGAGCCCAGGCTTTGATGGGCAGGGGGGGGGTGAGGTCTCAAATTTTTTTTCCGGATATACCACATTTTTCCTAAATATTAATTTTCTGGATACATCATATTTTCCCGGAAATGAAAAAAAATTTCCCGAAAATAACATAAATTCAGGTTTTCAAAAGGCAATCCTTAAGACATTTTTCACGCAAGAAAAGGGCTCTTTGCTCCCGGAAAAAAGGGCAATTGGCAAAACTCCCCGGTTCCTACGCCCCTGCATGATGCAGGAAGTTGACATTTAGAGTGTAGAATGTTTATGAATTGTTCAATATGGTAGCTAATTCTTCATTGCTGCATGTCCAACTTTCAAATGTATTAAATTTAAATTGGCAATTAAGGTATCTAACACGAGAACGACTATCTTTACAGTGAAGCAATGCTGTAGCAATAATGAGTCAAACGTAAAAATTCAGTATTTAAACCCATTGACTGAAATACATGTAACCTGGTGTTACTCACATTAGATAGAGTAATTAATCATAAATTTCACTATGCGTTTGTAGACAGAATTCGATATGTTTACAAAAGAAGAATCTGCTGGCGAGATTGGTACCAGTAGAGCCAGTATGAATAGGTGTGGCAAGACCAATGCAGCAAAAGGAGTCCATGGTCATTACAATGAATATAAGGATTTTCACAGTAGAGAGATTGAGGCACATGTTTGTGCCTCCTTCATGGATATGTGCGAGATGGTAAACATAGAAGGTAAACATTGTAATGTAGAGCAATATAGTTTCAATTGTTTTTTATAACACCAGGCGATTTTACTTGTCAAGTGGAGAGTGCTGCCACTCGATGGGTTTAATATTAACATATACTTTAGAACTCGACACATCACACTTTACCATAAACTTTAAAATGAAAATGTTAATGTTTATTTTTCATATATTGTTATATCGATTGTTTTTTAAAGAAATATTATAGAAATTAATGGTAGTAATTTGCATATTTGCATAAGTTGATTTACTATGTGCAAAATTAATGTTCTTTTTGTTCCTTTTAGATGTACCAGCATGTGATTTTCCTGACAAAGATGCCGACCAACATGCCAGGTCAACATGGTTAATTGAAATATGTAAGAAGCATGTAGAGACATATGTGGTTTCATCTGATGTATCAAACCTTGTGGAACCAATTGGTATTCTGGATGAGAAACTGAATGAGAAAAAGTTCCCATGTCGTTCACCTGAATGTAACAACACATACACAATACATTCAAAGAGAGTCAGGTGTGTATTTTCAAACAACAATTTTTTATTTACTGATTCGCCCAAGATGTTGAAATTACACATAAATGAAATAAACTATTTACAAGAGATGGGCTAGAAGCCTACTAGAAACCATATGGCTTTTGTTTTAGGCCCCTAGGTTATAAATTTAAACTAATTAGCAATGAAAATGATATGCAGCATCAGTTTGAGTGCTTTTAAGAGAAAAGAAAAAGAATAGTTAAATATTATATGATATGATATTAACCCATTAAGTGCCAGCGCTCTCCCCTTGACGAGTAAAATCGTCTGGCGTTAGAGTAAAATACTAAATTAGGCTCCATCAGGGTGCATCGCCACTCAATGGGTTAACTAGACACATGCGCAGATAGGCCAGTTAACCCATTAAGTGCTAGCGCTCTCCCCTTGACGAGTAAAATCGTCTGGCATTAGACAGAGTAAAATACTAAAGTAGGGTGCATCAGGGCGCAATGCAACTCAATGGGTTAAGATACATTTACAATTCAATTTTTGATTTATAGTTTTCCTATACTTACAGGAATATGTTATTCTATTAAATAATATTATTCAGTCATGTTATTAATCATTTCAACCCTTTGTGGCAATGCGCTCAGATGTGCCATACAAATATATTATTTCACTCTGTCTAATACCAGACAATTTTAATAGTGAAAAGGATAGTGTTGCCACTCAATGGGTTTAACAGAGCACAAAAGGGACTGCAGATCTTGGGGGGTGGGAGTGGGTGGTAGCATGCCCCCTTAACTCTTGCCAATACTATATTCCCCTTATTACGTTTTCGTAGCGCTTTGCATTGTGGTTATAGTGGTATCACTGATGTTCAAGATGGCTTATTTTTTGTGCTAACCCGTGCAAGACCCGAGTCAGGTGCATGATAGCCAACAGCAAAATATTTGCGAAAACATTCAATATTTTAATTTGAGGCCGCTATCTTTATCAGTGATACCACTATAACCACAATGCAAAGCGCTACGAAAACGTAATAAGGGGAATTATCAATTGAAAGAAAAAGTCCATTGATGTATATGGTTTAAAATAATGTGATCGTAATAGGGTGTGTTCACTTGTGTTTCCCTCAAACACTTTCCAAACACATTTTGTAATCACTGTATGAACTATAATAGTACTATATGTTATTATGCTTGTTTTTTAGGCATGAAGTAATGAATCATGATTTAAAAATGGAGGTTTATGTAGAAGATGAAAGGGATAAGTTTGGTTACTATTATTGCCAGTTTCCTTCATGTGGACTAGTGTTTAGTACAAAGCAAACACAAAAAAGGTACATCTGGATTCTGTAACAGCTACATTTGGTATGCATAATTAAACAATTAATAGGTGTAATGCACCAGAATGCTCCCTACTTTATTATTTTACTTGTCAAGAGGAGGTGACTGCCTATTAAAACCTATTGAGTCACATTGCACCATACTTTATTATTTTAATGCTATTGTGCAGTTTATTTAACTCCAGTTATACATATTTTAATAGACATGAAAGGCAATTTCATCCAAATGGTAATTTTTATGCACCACAAATTGAGCAAGAGATCACCACAGGGTTTGAGGAGGACTTTATGTTCAATTATCACCAAGCCAAATTGATGTTTGGTCTCATTCTTATGGCATTTGAAGATGCTGTAAAAGAAGGCGATGGACAGCGGTTGTTTGAAATATACAAGCTATTTCTACTCTTAAAGAAAGCTAATGGACACACAAAGTATGCATATGCTACCCTCCTGTATCTTGTAAAGATATGTTCAATTTTTTCTGAGTATGAGGCAAACAGATTAAAGTGGAACAGGTTTTATAATAATCATGGAGGCAAAGGAAAGAATATTCCGCTTGACCTTAAAAAAGAACATCAAAACAAGCAGTTGAAGAAAATGTGGAGAGCCCTAGGACCAAACCTGAATGAGAAAAATGCAGCTCGTTTGGCTGGAACACTAGATTCAGTTGAGTGTATCATGCAATCTGTTGACAAAGATTGTAAAGTAACAGAACGGAAATCCCATCGTGCAGTGCCAAAGAAAGAAGAGGCTGTTTACCAGCTTTTCCAATTTCAGGTCAAACCTTTTGCCATGCATGGACTACAGAGATTTACATAGATGGATGAGGGATAACATCAGAAACTGGAAGTCAATTTATCTAGCTAACTTAGACAGCTAATTTGTTACAGCTGCTAATTACTGCTAACATTTTATGTTCATAACAAGTAGTTCCAGTAAAGATATACACTCTCCTCCTGTATATAATATGTCTGATTATTTTCAAATGTGCTACTGCACATTAGCACGGGGGTACTCTAATTTCCTATGTGGGGGAGGTGCATGTGGATGCTTTCTACATTTACAATTAATGGATTTTGTTTTCATTAAAATTGTGTTAAATGCATTATACAGATAACATGCATTATACAGATAACATGATAAGGATAAAAGGAAATGGACACTAAGTGAACTGTATTTAGGTGCACAAAATATTTTTGTAATGACTTAACACTATAGTCGTAGAGGACGCACAGTTTTGTTCACTTAAATTGGATAAGAATAGCTTACCAATCCCTGTTGACTTGATAGCTTGATGGGTAGAGTGGCTGTCTAGATACTTGAAAAAGTGTAATGTAAAAAATTGTTTATATTAATTATTCTTGTAAAGAATTATTGCAACTCGTTATTAACCATTCAAGTGGCAGCACTCTCCCATTGAAAGGTATATCATCTGATGTTAGACAGAGGGCACATTGGGGGCAGTGCTGATTGAAGGGCTAATGAATTAGCAATATGTATATAAAACTATATGAAATTGGTAGCAAAAAAAAACGAATAAAGTATTTGAGATTATTGAAAATCTTAATTAAACAACCAAAATTTTCCATTTGGTTTTACCATACAGTAATGTACTTACAGTAGAAGACATAAGGCGTAAAAAATACCTGTGGTTCCGGTTCCCGACTGACCTAATTTTTTCAGCCGACCCTATTATTTTTTCAACACGAATGACCGTGCGACCCTATTTTTTCTCCAGGTGGTTGTGGGCTGCTCGTACAGCGTGCCAAAATGGCGTCTGTTGTCACACTAATTATTGAACCAAATTGCCTAAATTCGTCCATAGGAAATATGCATCTCTAGTTAATAATGATGTCGGGACTCTACTGCAAATCGCCCAGCAAACAATCGCCAAAACCATGAAAAAAAAATTCAAAAAAAAATTTATTTCCAACCTACTGACCCTAACTTTTTCATGATATGAAACCGGAACCACAGGTATTTTTTTTACACCTAAGCATTTATCATAGACGGATTTTCAGTGATGGGTGGGGGAAATTTTGGGAGGGATGTGAGTGACAGGGTGCATACCTTCTACAGAACAAGCTGCAGCATGGGGTCTGGGACACAGTAACTAATGAGGGTCAGGAAATTGAAATTTTTGGTCCTTTTATGCAGTTCAAAATCATTGTTTTTAGTATATAACTGTACCTAGTTCAAAATCTTTATTTCAATCATACTACTGTAATTTATCCCAATGCAAAATATTTTTATTGCAGTGCACACCCCACTACACCCCCCAGAAAATCTGTCCATTGCATTTGTCAATATAGACTGTACAATTATATTACATGGAACAAAAACTGTCAAACATGTGGAAGATCATCATCACTGTCTGAGGACAATTCATTATGTACATTTACATCCTTCAGTGCTTCATCCAATTCCCACAAATATGTTTCCTTGCTTACCTTGCTTCCTATTAGCAGTTCCATTGTGTAATCAAAGTTTGGGATGTCCAAAAAAATTTCTTGAATAACCAGTATTTTGATAGCATTTTCAAATGAGAATACAGGGCAAGTATCAAGTATGTCACCTATGGTAAATATTCTGGAACAGTTCTTGACTACATCATCCACTAAATGAGGTGAAAAACAGTGTCCTGAAAAATTGTCCAATAAATGACTGCCTTGTGTGAGAGAATGCTTGATTTCATCAAGTGCTCCTTTAAGATCTGACATATCTTCATTACTTACAGGTCTGGTCAGGTCTGGCACTTTGTACAGTTCAGATAACAGGGGGTATCTCTCTCAAATTCAGGGGGAATAAATAGGTATTGTTCTTCCTGGCAATCACATAATGCTGAACAGTTCTTACAACATAAATGTAGTTGTTGCAAAGGCTGTATTCTATCGTCGAGAACTTTGTAGCCAGCAACACGCAAACAACTTTCTGTCTTTACAAAGTCTTTCACAGATTCTTCACAGTAGGAGAGTTGCTGGCCATGATAAATAATTCTGGCATGGCTTTGTAGTTCATCTCTGCCAGCTCTACCAATTTCTTGATGCTGTTCAAGAATATTTCTTGCTGGTCCAAAGTTTATGATATATGTTATGCTGGGAAAATTTACTCCCATACTGAGGGCTGATGATGCAACGACAACTCTTATTTTACCAGAGGTAACCTTTAGTGAATCCAGTACACGTTTTTTATTCCGTTCCCACGAGTTCGAGTGGTATATGCCAACCAAACAGTTTCCCTGCACCTTGGGCTGTTGTGGAGCATATGCTGCTTTATCAAGCTTTAGCATTAAATAATTCACTACACACCCAATGTCATTCATTGTATTACAGAATATTATTGTCCTCGGCATTTCAGCACTGTGCTGTTTAACAGCTTCAACTATCCAGTCCAGTCCAGTCATGATGGCTTCCTTCTTATACTTTTCTACAGAGAAACGAATATTCTGTCTGTTGGGACTGATTATGATTTTAAAGGGGTTTTTAAGGGCAAGTTTCTCTTCAACAAAACAGCAAGTGTTCTTTCATCTGCTGTGCCTGTTAATGCAGCAACTGGAGTACCTGTAAATATAATTTAAATAAAAGTGAAATAAGTTTTGACCTCTTGTCCATGCATTCAGATCTCTTATAGCCTGTGTAGCAGCTCTCATGGGGAAACTATTCTTTAAAGTCACTGGATCAATTTCGTAAAGAATGACCTGGTTCTGAAATTTCAAATTCAGCTTACAGTTGAATCTTAATGAAGACAATTGTTTCAAAATTAATAGTAATTGCAAAGCTTATTCCAGTATGTAAACAAAATTAGCAGGCGATTTGTAATCACTAACAAAAGTTTTATATAAATAAATGAGGTTTAATATACAGAATAATAAAAAAATAAATAAACGTTATCCTCACCTTCTTTTAGAAACGATCGTAACATTGCAAGTTTTCCATAAGCCGTACGGAAAGCTGTGTAATTGCGTTTTCCTCTACGTTTCTTCTCGCTGTTAAACAAAAATATACAGTGACCACATGATTTCATAAATGATTTTTCGATATGTGTGCGCCGTTCATACATTTCATAACTACATTTACTCACTCACTAGTAAATTGTTGTAAATATATTGACGGTGCTTACCTTATCCCACCCCAAGATTGTATTGTATGCGTTTCATCTACGACGAACGCTGGCAGGTTTTCGCTGAAACTAGAAGATATTTTCAACTTCTGAATAAACTTCGGATCCGTAACATTCTCTGCAGATCCGTACACAATACAATATTTACCACTTAAAATATCTTCCATATTGTTTTAAATGTAGTCTTCAAGAGAGCATGATGCTGTTATTCCCATTGATGTGAGCTCTGATATCTGGTCTGCAATAATACTTTTTAAGGGAACGACTACAAGCACACAACTTTGTTGTGTTAAGAGTGCGAGCGACTGAAATATCAAACTCTTCCCAAATCCTGTGTGCATCACAGCAACGGTATCTCTCTTCATGAATAAATTGTCAGAGACGCATTTTTTGTTCATCCTTGAATGAGAAATCGGAGCTTTTAAGCTCTTTTAAGGAATGCAAAACACGCAAGAAACACGTCTCAAATGCATCCGCCATGTTTGTTCAATCAAGCTGCCAATCAATGATATTTTAGCATAAATTAGCATATTGTTCATTTTGAACCAATCAGATTTCTCATTCTCTAAGAGAACGAGTAAATACGGGAAAGCATGGGGTTTCGTGCAGGCTGTCCTTTCCTTGGAGCTAGTCCACTGAGAACCTGCTTCGCAGGCTAGAGCCCCATAGGCATAGGTGACAATTAAATCCATTTCACAATTTTCTTGTTAGCTTTACCACATGTGTTTTACCATTTTAGATCGTTTTAGATGGTTTTAGATGGTTTTAGGTCGATTTAGATGGTTTTTGGGTCGTTTTAGATGGTTTTATGTCGTTTTAGATAGTTTTAGGTGATTCTTTGTTTTAGTAACTACCTGGGTTTTATATCCCCATAAAACTTTAAATTGATAAGACAGATAGTAATGTTGATGCAACCTCATTTTCTAGTAACTACATGTTGAATCAGAAGGAAAAGTTATCAAAATAGGTTGTTTGCCATTGTTGTCGCTTCTCTCTGAAATGGCTTCCTTTGCGGGAAGCCATGAAATTGAATTCCTAACAAAAACATAATTTAGCTGTCCTTTTGGGCCCATTGCTCACTTATTTATCATGAAATCACTTCACTAGAACATTTTTAATAATGTCTATGGGAAACTAAAAGTTTATGGTTTTTAGGTGTTTATTTTATAAAATAGCACGCGCAACAAAATGGTACTAATTGATTTCTCACGTCTGACAAACAACTAAAGATGAAAGTCCTTATTTCACCCTTTTATAGCTATGTGCAATACCTGAATATTAGATTATCTTTTTCATTTGAGCATACAGACAACATTTCTACACAATTAATCCTTATGAAGGCTTATTTCAAACTAAAAAAGCGAGTGTTTTTTTAGAGCCAGACTTCAAAAGAGAACGTGTGTCTTTTATAGCAGGCCTACATTGACGTGCAAAATAATTTTGGCTAAAAACCGTTGCTTTTCCAACAAAAACATGAGAAAATTGAGCTAAAAGTCTTACCTGATGTATTTTTAAAATATTTTTCTTTCAATGGTGTTTTTCAGTGCTTTTGAGTATTGAAGAGGTTAATAGCTTTTGGTTTTGTCACCACAATTTGCCTTTGAACATGTTGGCTGTCATTGTCTGTGTTAAAAACACCTCAGAAAATTCCTATTTTCTCACCTTCCCATCCTTGGTTTAAATTGAAAATAAATAGATTCTAGTACCATATGTCCTTTTAAATATATTTGAAGTAATTAAAAACTTGAAAGATGTACAAGCACTGTGTTTTGGCTTGCACACTTTATTGAATTTGAACACTTAGTTACTGTTCTAAATTTCATGTTGTAAACATCTTGCCCCCATAGTATATTTTATAATTTTTGATCATTTTCTAAGTCCTATCTCAATAGATGAAAATTGGTTATAATATAGATATGTACTAATTTAGTAAATAATATTTTTCTGGTTTTTATATAAATTTATGGAGATATTGCCCCTGTAGCTGATGAGTGACATGCAAAACAAAGTGCCACTGCATGCTTTACAAATAAAAATTCTCATTGAAAAAAACTAATTATATATATATAGGTATGCAAGTTCATTTAAACTAAATTTGGTCGATCATATATCATTCATGTTTGGTTGAAAAGACCAGATTTTTTCATGAAACTATTTCTGAGATATTGCCATTTTGGTGAAAGCTCCTGAATTCAATCACATATTCACTATATTGCTTGGGCTTTGGGAGGTAAAAACATTGTAACAGCTTGCGCATTAATGAGTTAATTTACTATCATGGGTAAAACACCAAAGAGAGCAAATTCTGTCTGGTATAGTGGCAAGTTCGGAGCTAATAGTCACGTTGGAGGGTAGGCTTTTATCGTTGTAGAGAGGTCGTGACGTTTTCTGTGAAGTAAACAGCAGTAGGAAAAGGATGAGAACTAGGACACGTCTGATGGTGATCATATTCGTGGATAGAATTAAAGACGAACACTAATGCAAGGTGGGAAGTTAAGGTTGACAGTTGAAATGAGTTGATTAGTTGAGGATGTCAGCAAATTAATGTGGATGGGAAATCCCAAAGGCAAAGTGAAATATGATTCATGTCTTTGTAACAGTACAATACAACAGCAAAAGTATGAATAAAACATGAAATACTCAACCAAATTGAACAAGAATTGTACCGAAACAAAACAAATAGACAGGCAAACACAATTCCAGAGTGCAAGCTTGTCTTTATACGATGAATATACAAATACTGGTAAGCACTGTTGTCATGACAAGCAATGCTATATACTTGATTACAAATTCAAAAATTCCAACCACCTAAAATTTAAAGTGATAAAGTGATTGTAGTTTAAAATCCACTGAACTAATATACTTCAAAACTTGACACGGTAACACAAACACAGTACGAATATACCACTCAGAAGGTATCAAACAAATCCACCACACTGTCAGAGAGATAATGTTAAAAAAAACAATGTTCACAATTTGCAGCGATATATAGCAGCGCAACATGACAAGCCAACACCACAATTAAAATCTAAAATATATGACCAAAATCACAGTTTAACACCACACAAAATATATACTCGGAATCACTTTTGAAATGGATCAGCAGCTCTGCCAATGTGAGTCCTGTTGGTGAGTTTGTAAACTCTGGATTTAAAGCCTGCTATAAGTAATAAAAATATAGATAACTTGGTTGCAATATTTAACTGATTAACATTCAAAATTTTCCCTTGATGAATAAAATTGCCTGGTGTTAGACATAGTGAATACTAAAGGCATATACCACTTAAAACATTTTGTATTAAGACATGTAAACACATTATTATTCAGCTCCCAATACCTCAATATACTATTTGCATTTGCTTGGTGTGATAAAAAGTATACATTTTTTATAAACTTGAAAAACCTCTTTCTCGGTTGATTCAAATAGAAATCTCCCATTTGATGTATAAAACTTGTCCAGAAGTTGGAGTAGGTTTTCCTGTTTAATTCAAAATTATTATTTTTAAATTAAGATGCACATCATAGTTACATATTCACACTTTGTTTATTGGGTTTTAAAAATTTTTACGTGACCTACTGTGTGTCAGCATTTTCCAATATCTAGCTGGTTTTGGCCTCAAAACCTCTTCTCAATTTTTTCACCCAAGAAAAGATCTCGTCTTGGACTTTGCTCATGGTAGAGAGTGTCTGTTTCATTGGAGCCACATCAGACTGCAATTTTGCAATACCAGTATGAGTATCGAAAGCAGCAGCTGTGGGGGTCTCTGCATCTTATGCAAAAGATAAAACTAAAAAGATAAAACATTTTTCAGTATTACATGTACATTTATAAATGGAGTTTGGTCATTTCACGAGTCAAGCTCGAGCCCGAGTCAAGCATGAGTCACAAGTCAATTTCGAGTCACGAGTCAAATCGAGTCAACCTAAAAACTTGGTTTTTGCGCTTTTACTTATAATTTCAAATTTTGATGCAGGTAAGTAAACTTTATGAAATAGCGCATCTTGGTTTATTTACATTCTCACGGTTGTTTGTTGTTCCACAAACCTGACTCGGCCCAGTCGCTTACCTCGCATTGAATGACGGGAATGCGATGGTTTATTCCCATATGCCTGGGCGTCCTTTTACGGCAAAGGCCATGGAACTATATATTTGTGGGACTGTGGACGAGCCAGTGTACAGACAAGTGAGTCAACGACTATGGGAATTCTGTTTATGAGAATTCCGGTAATTCCTAATTTGCGGGCGAGTAAGTCAACAACTGTTTGTGCGGGCTTTGCAAAGCCTATTTTTGAATATTGAAATACCATAATTTTATATGTAAAGAAATGTATTAGGACTTACTCAAAGTTCAACCTTTTTAATAATTAACATGTATTGTCTTGTATTTTAATTACTGCTATTAAAGTCCATTCAAAGCGATTTCAGTTCACTTTTAAACCATCTGGTACAGTTTAATTAAAACAATATAAATTTTTCCAGAAGTGTGTTCAATGTATGATTGCGCCCACGGGAACGCATCAACAACCAGAATTTATGATATGATTTTTACATATTTACTTAATTAACAATATGAATACAGTAAAGTATATATAAACAAACGCAAAACTAATGAATTTTAATGATTTGACCACGACCAACATCTGTTTTAGTAAGTCACGGTAACAGTACGTACCGAATGTCTGGACAAAAGCTCAAAGAAATACCGGGGGGGGGGGGAATAAGTACTGCTCCCAATAAAAAATGACATAATCGTAATTTTTGAGATATTGACTAATGTTAAGAGATTGTTGTTTGTATAAAACTTGCATAGTGATGTGGATTTGTAAATCCAATGAATCCAATGATAAATTGAATCAAGGAAGGTTTTATATGGAATTGGAGATGTTCTTTTTTGACAAGAAATGCACCAATTATTTTATAATTTGCAAAGCAGATGTTATAATCTGCATAATTTTACGAATAAGCTGTAAAATCATTTTAAAAGTATAATGAAACCCATGCATTGCTTAAAATAGCAGTTTGGCCTCACAAATCCACATATTAAATGTACACGTGTATATAAAAACATAACAATTTATTAGCAACATCTTTCAAAATAACGACTACATCATTATGGAGGACCATTTATTTTCGACCACCCCCTTTACATTTAAAGAAGCTTCGAGAGAAATGCCTATTTTAACCACTGTACAGGTAAATTCTCTGATAATATTTTATCGTAGTCCTGCGAGGAAAGACTTGGCCCGATTATTTCATCTAGTTTGATTGCACTAGGTGGCACCTGAAGGTTACTGTTAGCAGGAATGTTCTGCAAGCAGGACCATTGCAAGCAAAAGTGGTAGTTGCGGTCAACGGTAAATTTTTTTCCGTCTTTGGTTTCATGGGGAGGAATCCAATGTGCCGAAACTTGAATGGAGAGATCCCCCCTTTCAAATTGCCTGGAACAATTTCGACCTGAACACGCAGGCGTTCGACCTCTTGAAACCACTCGAGAAATACACCATTGCTGTTTTGTTAAATCTGGGTTCCTGAAATCTTTCGCAGCCATTGTTGTAGTAGGTGTATTTGCTGCGGTTGCGGTAGCAGTATTGATCGTTGTTGCTGACAGGGTTTTTGAAGTTGGTGCCTTCCCATCACGTCCTTTCGTGATGCTTTCGAGCTCAGAATTTAGAAAAGAACGCTGCTGAAGAACTTCGCTATTCTCCGGGACTTTATAAACATAAAGAAGGACCCATAAAATATGACTGCAGATTTCTCGGCTACTACAATATTTACAACCATCGCAGCTAGGCATCTTATTTAAAGCTACTTTGTAACTAGTTCCTGTGTTATGAATAATGGAAATTTCATGGGACTGTGGGGAGTTGAATTTGATGTCCCCAACTCGATACGAGTTTTGGCATGATTTGGCAATCTGCAGGGAACGTGAGAACTTGGTACTTCTTGTATTTTGTCTTGGAGCAAGGCGTTTATCCACTTCACATTTCTTATTCGTGGAAGCACAAGCGCTTGTCTTCTTGCATGGTCGCTTTTCGAGAGGATCGTTTCTGTGTGCAGCAGTCTCATCCACAAAGTACTCTGGTTCTCTTAGTTGCAGGTCTTCTCCCTTCTCAACGTAGTCATCAAGTTCCTTGCAGAATGCTTCGGCTTGCTTCTTCTGGTCTACGTGTCTTCATCTTTGGAGGTCCGTGACGGATGGGCCACAGCCTCCTTTGTATGCACCAACTTCATAACCTTCTACTCGCCTCTTGAGCTTGACACTTTCAGCTACATCTTCACGACAAGCTTGAATCAAAGTGAGGTTCTCTGCACCAATATGATGCGATCTTGAGTGGTGGACCTCTGCCAAATTACTCTTTGCCACATTGAAACCAGGCTTAAAGGCGCGAAAAACATGGGATCGACGAGCTTCCCACCATTTCCACCAGTTGTTCAAAAATGGGTTGTTGTCGATAAACTTCTCCAACGCAGCCTTTGCCTTGTCATACATGTTCTTAGTGGATGCTTTCAATACTGAATCAGAAAGAAAACGATATTCCTTTCTTAGGTCTTCTCCAATCAGTTTCTTTGCATTTCTGTCAACAGAGAATCCCCAGTGGCACTCACAGCTAACGGCCCGGTTAATTTCTTCTGTTCCCAATTGTTCTTGCAGTGAAGCCCAAAATCCCCCACCCTCATCAAAAACGTACAGATGAGGCTTAAAAAGTATTTGTTGTCACCAGTGAATTGCCGTAATGCTGTATTCAGGCAATCCCAAAATATTCCGATATTCTCCTTGCTTTCTGTTGGACATTCCATTGTTGCAATTTTCATCATTTCCCTTAAATTTGGGTTATACACAACCAAAGAGATGGTTATGTATCCTGTGACACGATTGTGTTTGCCGTCCACATGGCACGGTTCAACATTCAGATGTCCTTGGCCCATCTCCATAGCAAGTTGTAACTGTTCCCGGCTGGTCTTAAACACAATTTGTTTTTCACAGTCCACTTTGAAAATTAGGAATGGATCTTTCAGTACATCCTGTACTTTTGTCTTGTACTTCATCACTGCATCATAACTGTGACCCACTGGGTCGAGTTTCTCTTTAGCTGACTGCTTCATCTTTTTCAGCGTCTGTCGTTCGACCAAACTATCTGCCAAATCATTAATTGCTTCGAGGGATTCTTCGTTCTCGGTGGCTTCAATCAACTTGTCATTAACAAATCTTTCTGGTTTTAGGGTTCTAGATTGTTTGAATGCCATTGTGGCTGTATCTGTTACAGTTGTCGGAGATCGTTTGACTGGGAAACACGTATGAATTCCATAGTGATACACAGTTACTTCTGATTTTCCTTCAGGATACTCCCATATTTTTCTAGCAAAACATGGAACAAAAACAGGTGTTGCTCCACATGTCCTACATACTAAGCAGGACTCCTTTTTCTCAAATTGAACTTGATTTACTTTATTGTATTGGCGAAAGTAGCCACAGCGCTGATTTTCACACCGGTATGACCCTTTGCATGATTTCAAATATCTCTTTCCAACGAAGCCTGCACGTCTTGACGTAGTATAATTACTCCACTGTCTCCCATCCTCGGTAACTGCCGTTTTGTTACCACTGTCATATTCTAGGCTGTAGACCTTAAGTCCGTCTATGTCATATGGGAGAGTCCGTCTATGTCATATGGGAGATTCTCAACTCGCTGGATTGGGACATCTGCCCAAATGTCGGGAGTTAACCTTGTCTGGCTGACTCTCCTAATAATATTAAAGAAACATGCTATAAGTTAAAACTCTAAAAGGGCACGCAATCATTAAATTAAACAAGAACTGGAATGCTGCCTTCATAAATAACGTCCTGTGATTGGTTGAAGCAAAATCTCGAAGCAGGCTAGCTCGTATCTAGCAATTTGCCTGTTGATACAACATGTATTTTCTTGCTCATTTTCGGACGAATTTCGGACTGCAGTTCCCAATAAATCGGAGATTCGGAGGGCAGGTTTGCTGTTCGAACATTGACTTAAACATTCCAGTTCCTCTTTATATATCTGTGGCAAACAGAGGTTAACATAAATTAAAATTTTCTTAACATTTTACAATGTAGAAAGACCTTTTTGGTAAGTTTTCCATCTCATGTGGTGAGCTCTTTGCCTCGTCTGGTGAGCTCTCTGCCTCATCTGGTGAGCTGTCTGCCTCATCTGGTAAGCTCTCCATCTCATCTGGTGACGTCTCCACCTCTTCTGGTAAGCTTCCCACCTCAAATAGCTTTCTTGATAATGATGATGAAGTCTTTTTTTTCTTTTATTATAATCTTCTTTCGCTGGTGAGCTTTCAGCACTGGTCACCACCTTATTTAAACAAAATAAATAATAACTACTTACTTTAAAGTACAGTACATTGTGCTAAGTTTACTAACTTCCTGCTACACTCCATGATGGCGTAAACAAGTTAAACTCTACATGCAAATAAACTGCAAATTAACTAAAATACATGCTGACAACACACCAACTCAGATCAACGAAGCAAGGTCTTCACAGAAAATTGTTTTTCCTGCCAATTGTTAGAAACCATGGCTAAAGAGTGCACTTCAAGGGCGTCATTACGTTTTGAAATACATGTTCCAACACTTTCGGTCAACGGCCCGAAACCACTGGCACTGATTAACGAAGTCACAAAGAACTACTGTATGTTAAGTTAATCCAAAATGCGTTTTTAATCTGATCTTTTCTGGAACAACCAATTGACAAAGAAAAGTTAAATTTTATTCATTGTTGTGGTAGTTTCTGCATACTAGATATCGTGGTTCAAAGCCTGGTTCACATTGATCGTAAACATCGGCGATGCCCATTGTCGGTGGTCATTGATGCATAAAATGTTTTGTGCATTTTCTTCTTCGTTGCTCACAGACAATGGATCGTAGAACATCGCCGATCAATGTGAACCAGGCTTAAATCATTGATACTGTATTTTACCTAACCTTAGAATCAAATGGCACATATAGCTTAATTATATTACTATAACTGGAATCTTGGATTTCAAACCACAAGTTGTAATAAAATTGTAATAAAAGTGAAAATAAAAGTCAGCATCTACCAGAAATAAAAACCCCTGAGAACTTCTAATATAATATTGTAACTCTAAATAGGCAACAGACTTTGTATATAATCCAAATGGTAAAATCAGAACTTGTTGAACAACGTGAGGTATCTTGGGGGGCTCCCAGTATTTTCTGTGGCACTGCTGTTGGGTCTATAAAATATACTTCCATAGTGTGGTAATAACTGTGAAATCTATTTGATTTTCTCTTTTGAAATTAACTGATGTAGTGAGAAACTAATTTTTATTCATTTCCCTCTTAATCTTTTTTCTCACATCATCACTTACCACTCAAACAATTTGTCAAATTACTCTTCTTCGCTGAAAGATGAAACAATATATAGTGTAAAAACAATAGTATATATTAGTAGTATACATTCATGCACTTTTTATTAAAGACTCATCCACGATCAGCATTGGGGCATTGAACATAAAAATGAACACAAAATAGAACCAAATGGATGTCGCTCATCTGCACGATTTCGTGGGACTCGTGTTTGATTTTGTATGCGTGTGTGTTTCTTGATGAATTCGTTTTCATATGCATACAGTGGCGTGCTGGTTACTGTATAGCGGGCGGGGCCATTAATCACTACTGCGCCCCAATGCATACCCTAACGACTGACTGCATGAGTCACGCTAGGGGGTTCCTGGAGCATGCTCCTCCGGGAAAATTTTGAAATCTAGGGTCCCTCTAATGCGATTTCCTGCATTTGCACCACCCCCTGCCAGCACGCCACTGTGCGCATGTGGTGGTTCTATTTGTGTCCGGAATTTTCGATCATCCCTGTGGGTTGGGAGGTAGCCTGCGAGGCAGGCTCTTCTTTGGTTATGTGGGAGAAAGAGCCTGCAATTGCTTCTAATAATTTTCGTACCTCCCCTAGTGACGCTGAAATTATAAAAATCAAAATCTTTGTCGTAGCCAATAAAGTGGTGGCTTGTTACCAGATTTTTCGACTTGAACTCATGCATGCGCAAAAACCTACAAAACCCAAGTCCATGGCATAGAAATTGGCGGAATGGACAACTTCGGATTTGCCTTGGATTTCGATCACCCAGGTGTAAATATCCGAGCGGAATTAGCATTAACTTATCTAGGTTATACTCAGCTCACAACAATAGTAATAGAAATTCCATATTCACTGATCACAATCTCAGATCTGGAAAAGCCGAGAACGCCAAAAATGGTGGCGTGAGAAAGGCTAATACGGGATAGCGACTTTCATTTTGATTGGGGAATATATTTACGAATAATTCAAATCAATGTTGGGCATATCGTTGCGGAAAATCGCAAATATTTCTTCATATTCTCTTCTTTTTACATTTCTGTATAATGTGTAGTTCCAGAAAATATCCAGACCCCCCTCCATCCCCCTGGATTTTTCAAAACTGTCCCAAGCTGAAGTTTGCCCCCCCCCCCCACAACCCTATGGAAATTCCGGTATTTTGCTATTTTTTATATCCACCAACAGGTGGGAAAGTTGTCGTCACTGGCCAAAAAATCGCTGGCAGAAACAAAGCTCCATTGGATTGCATTTACATTCAAATCAAAGCAGACTGAGTTAGCAAGAAGCTGTTTAGCGAACAATTTCTTGCTTTCCGTTCAAACGATTCACAAATTAACGGTTATTCTTTCAAAAATCGGTCGTGAATTCCTTGTTTTGGGATGATTTTTTTGTAATCGAGTGATTGGAAGAAGTGAATATGACGACGTGAACATGGGAAAAAATACCTGTATACGTCGAGCTATGGCTTGTTTAAAACCGTAATAAACGAAGAAAACCCTGATATAAGAATAAAATGGAAGTTGAAATTAATTTTATATGCCTCAAATTTTCCACCCTATGTTTTTTAATGTAGCTTCAGCGGTCTAAGTTCAAAATACAAGCTCGCGAAATTTGACAAATTTTGAAAATATATAAAAAATAGCTTGACTTTGAAACTGTATTTTTTTTAATAGCCGGTATCCTCAATTTCAAATATAGCTAAATAAAAAGAAAAAACTTTTCGGCGTTTGTAAGTATCAAACATATCATCAGGAAAATAGGGGCTCACAATGTTTTAACTAAGTCTTTGAGACCCAGTTGCTTGTGCGAAGCACAAGTGTGCACAAATTTTTGCCAAGAATCAAAGGCCAAAATGTGAACTTCCTTCATGAAGACTGCTTCGAGAAGGGTTTAGTTTAAAAATTTAGCTATTAATTTCGATTTCATGAGCATATTTTGGTTACACGTTAAATATTTTTTTACTTGATAAGATTCAAAATTTGTTGTATATTCAAGCCCGATTTATATGCTGTAACTGTATCTGTACTCCGTGGGGCAAATAATAGGCCAAAGAAATTATTTAGCTTTTCATCATAGCTTAAACTTTTAAGGCTGATTTCCAACATCGCGTTTTTTATATGTACGTACACACACAAAAAAATCCATTTAAATCAGAAATGAAGATATTTTGAAAATTGGCTGTGGCCTCACGATAAAACTTTCTAAAAATGTACCCTTCGTTTCATGTATATTTATTTGATATCTTAGGAAAAGCCTAAAAATAGAGACTCGTACAGTTTACTAGGTTGTAAAATTCATGACTTGTAAGTCTCTATTTTCATGTAAACATTCAAAATTTTTCAATAGCAAAGTAGGAACTTTTTCAGACCGAATGCACACGGACAGCACACCAGGGACAATGGCAGGTTACTGAAATAGAACGTCACTAAAAAATTCTGTATGATTAATTTAGATCATGTCCATTTTCAACATAAAACAGTCATTTATTTTGTACCAAACATTTGGCAATACTTACACAATTGCGCCTTTTCCTAAACACGCGTTGCGTGTATTCAACGCTCGTATTCCATGCTCGCGCATGCTCAGACAAATTTCCCACCTGTTATATCCACCCCTCTGGAAATCTATATATTTAAAACTACTACATGGCCGCTTTTACAGCCCGCATACATAATATGTACTTTGTACAGCTACACAAGTAACAGAACATGCTAAAAGTTTTATTTGCCTGCTCGCGTTGATTTGAAGGGAAAACCATTCAACTAGTAATGGCTGATTTACACAGTCGCATTTTTGATAGGACGTACATACAATGCGCGGAAATGTTTAAATCCTTCTTAAATCTTATATGATTAATCAATACCCTAACAAAAACACACTAAATCATACACAAAACCAAATACTATATATCTATTTATTCGATTATTTCAGTAGCACATTTAAATGGATTTTTTTGTGTGTGTACGTACGTATAAAAAACGCGATGTTGGAAATCAGCCTTAAAAGTTTAAGCTATGATGAAAAGCTAAATAATTTCTTTGGCCTATTATTTGCCCCAAGGAGTACAGATACAGTTACAGCATATACTTACAACAAAACTACACTGAATCGCAAATATATAAATATGCCCTATTTAAAACATTGTTTTATATCAGACCGAAAGAATTGTTTCACTTATGCGTAAACATGTCAACCAAATATCTAAATATGGAGCGAATGTTATTTATAGTCTCCTACATGTTTTTATTATAAAACTTACGCCACTTGCAAATTGTAGGCCATTGTAGTTTATAAATCAGCACTGTGGCGCCCTATTTAAATGAGAGATGGCTACCCATGCTAATTTTTTTGAATACCCTCTGGAAATATCAAGGCTTTTGTATACCCCCACCCCACTGGAAATATAGACAAAATGAACCCCCATATCTGTAGAGAATAGCGAGGTTCGATCGAGTAAGTAAGAGAAACTGTCTTCGTTTTATGGTTATATATTTAAAGCTAAAAAGGTTGAGGAAAACTACATGTGTTCGTACTATCTAAAACATGTTCGTGTTAGACATCTCAATATCTGTTCGTGTTCGTAGCTGATGCAATCTACATGTCTAATTACGTAATGTCAACTGGACTATTTACATTAACTGGACTGCTTAATTCACGACATCCTCCGGGGGCGCATTTAACACTTTCGCCCAATTTGAAATCTGTCGTAATGCGTTTTTAGCTGCTGCTCTAATGGGTCTTTCCATTCGATCTTCTGGAGTGTTCGATCTTCGTTGTGGATTATAGATTCTTTCGTTTCAACTGGATTGTCTGCTCTAGTCGTTGCACGTA